ATGATTTACTTTTGTTTGTGTTTGACGAGGTTTGTGGTTTTGACACGTGTCACAAACCGCGTCTTGGCTCCGTTTGTGATCAGCCATTATTGTAAACTGTGTGACCGAGAACACGTGAGCCATGACGCATTTTTAAAGCCATATTTGGCATGTGGCTTTGACAGGCGGAAGAAGAAGTAGTTCCTACCACCATTTAGACGACCCCAATATGAATGTTACTGTCCACCGTGTTACTGTTAGACAACCTACAAATTTACCACAATTTACTAAAATATTGATATTTTAATATGAGAATCGATTGCAGAATATAACTATCTGGTATTGGAAGAATCGATTTTTCAGTATTAGTATCGACCTGCACGCCACTAATTCTGATGCTCAGTTTGTATTTCAGCATGTCCTTTTCTACCACCTGTACATGCCTAAATGTACTGAGCTGCTGCCATGTGATTGGAGCAGGTGTCAGGGTCCCACCATTCGCTCTGCTGTTAGAGCCTCACAGCTTAGTGTTGTTACCCTTTTTGTCTGATCAGTGTCAGTTTTTTCAAAAATTCTTAACCCTCATGGTAGTGCATCCCACCACCACGAGGTTTCTGGGGTATGTTTTCTCCTTTCTGTCTTTTTTATGACATTTTTGGCTGAAATCACAGAGTCGCTGAAGTTACCAGTAGAGGTGACAGCATCATCATATGTTTCTATTTTTGCAAGATAATAAATACTGCAAAGCCATTTGACCTGATTGTTAACTGCAAATTGTTCTCGTTCATAGAGAAGACAAAAGCCAGATGTTAATGGGTGTTCGAAAGCTTTTCAGTCCAGTGTGAAATAGGCTGTAGAATCTCTTTCAAGAATCCTTTAGAGAATCCAATAGTGTTATCCAATAGTGAGCTGAATCAGGCCTCCAAGGCAAAGGTTCTCCCTTCACAAGAAAAGCCTCATGTGTGGCTCATATGATGTTGTATGTTTTAATTTCTAAACAATAAAACATTCCAGTCAATGACAGAAACCAGATCATCAGAACTTTAAAGTGTGTCGTTATCTGAAGGGAATTATTACTTGAAGACAGTGTTGTCTGTATGTGCTTTTTTTTTGTTTTTTATTTTAGCTTTTTTAGTATCAAGAGACCATCGGAAATACTGTGGTGTGTGAACCATAAATCACCCTTATTGTTCCAGGTCACCGTCTCAGAACTTCTTTGTTTATGCGATCTGAACATCGTGTGTCTTTGCTCAAGAGTCTAGCATACCTTCTCAAACTGACTGACAAATAAGTGTTTACTCATGTTTTTCTCGTTGCTGCAGTTAACCTGCTGATCCATGTTTGTTTGCATTTCATTGCAACTAAATGGCAAAAATAATTCGCTCAGTGGGAGGGGCAGTAAAACTACCTTTAAAGTGGACTCCGATTTGCTTAAACCATTCAAACCATTGCTTGAAACAGATTGTAATCAAAGTGCTTGGGATTATTAAAGTTGTCACTGATGGTTTGCATTCGCTGAGAATTATCTGTTCCGCAGCTTGGTCGCAACCATAGTTTATCTGTAAGTTAGCTTATCGCAGGAGCTCCTTTTATCTGTAACAGCTTTAATGTTTTTGTAATTAAAGTTAAATGCCAGGGTCATTTCTGCAGAGTTAGTTTGAAGACCATAATGAGTTCAAAGCCACCAGCTCAACCGCAATGAAACAATTAGAATCAGCGCGCCAAACTTCTGGTCCGTAATGGCTTTCTCCTCCTAGGCATGAGCAATCAGGACTTATCCAAGGCATGACCAACGGAGCCGGAGGGGACCAGCGTCAGCTCATGTGGGCGAGAGTCTGCAAAGCCATTCAAATTAGCTGTTCTAAAATCCACACAGCTCTTTGGGAATAAATACGATTACAGCCATTAGCTTTGGGTGCTGATCCCAGATCTGCTCTTCAGCTCTCTGGGACTTTGAAGCTTGGCCTCAGATTGCAACGCAAATTTTAGCCAAAACCACGAGACAATGAAACTAATTCCTTTCCTACAAGAGAAGAAAAAGATTTTTGAGAAACGTGGCCACATCTAAAACACTTCATCATTAGCACAGCACTGCTTTTACAACATGACTAAAATATACAAGACTTACTGCAACTGTGGTGACGACAGATAGTTATTTTTTCAGCGGGATCATGCTATGTATTGCGCAGTATTTGGAAATATATATTTGCCGTTACTATAAAATTCATTGCGCTGAATGAAAACAATCTTGGGATCACATGTCGCTTGAAGTAGAGTAAACAACATTTGAATGACAGCAGCTCCAGAGAGGGAAACCCCTGCAGCTTTCCTAAATAGTTTAGAAAAAAAAATCCAATATGTGGTGCTTCACTCAATCCAGAAAATTGTTTTCTGGTGTGATGAAGCTTTTTTTTTTTCCCTCACGGACAACTGACTTCCAACATCTGAGTCTTGTTAGGACGGTTACACAAAACAACGAGACTGCAGGGCAATGCAATGAAGAGATCAGTCGGAAACTGATCGGTAACTCATTATTAGTTCATTAGTGCAATGTGCATACCGTTACCACAGACCAATGATTATACAGCTTAAAAAACATCAGTGCAGTGACAGAGGGTTCAGAAACATACTCTGTGTGTGTGTGTGTGTGTGTGTGTGTGTGTGTGTGTGTGTGTGTGTGTGTGTGTGTGTGTGTGGAATGTGCGCATTGTGTGTTGTCAATCTAGACCCCAACATCAAACCACAGAGCCACTGACCAGATGTTTTCTGTCCTTTTCTCCCTCTCTTGCTCTATCTCTTGGCATCTTTCTCTCTTTTCCCTCATTATTTTCCCTCAGAGTTTTCCCACACTTGCTGCAGAAGTCCAAATTAATTCATTTTTGCAGTAGTTTGGCTCACATCAAGCATGCTTAGCTTACAGTAAGGTCTTCTGCGTTCATAGCTGCACCTAAAGCCAATTACAAGTGCACAGTATCTTTACAAAAGGCATCCAGGTAAAAAGATTATTACTGACATAAAATACTTTAATGGTGTTGTTTTTACAACTAGATAAAAGTAGAGTTGTATTACTGATTTAACAGGATTCAGTTACACTTAATTACTTTGCTATTTTCGTGCAGTTAAGCATTATTAGTGCAAGTTACATTTTTTTTAAAATATGTGTTGTTTATAACTTATAACTGTATCACCATTAGAGACTTATAGACCCTAAATGAAAGAACAAGTTATATAACTTGGCACGGTACGTCACATCAACTAAGACCATATTTCTGGGACTCTTCCGCTTTCTCCATCAGCGGGATATCTTTTTGTTCTCCATCTTCCTAAGAGAGTCACCTCAATCTCTACTGAACAGAATAAAAAGTTAAAAGGAGGCAAGAACTGTTGTGATTTCAAAGGTGACATGCTTCAATTAAAGCATTAACATATTGGAATAGCACACTGTCAAGTGCTGTCCGCGGTGCTGAACAATGCCAACAGCATACATGTGGAAAAAGTCCAAGTAAGGAGTTTAACAGTTGGTTGATTTTGTTATTTTAGATAGAACTGACCCTGGAGGGTCCCTCGTAAGCCTCAGTCACACAGGCCTAGAGACCAGTTGATGACCATCTGACAACTAGTTGCAAGAGAATGATGTGTACTAGGGCTGCAGCTATTGATTACTTTGTATTCAGTCAGGGGGTCAGCGGGTAGTCTGCTAGGTTTTCAACCATGAGGGCATGTAATGCTTCTTACTGCACATTTCACCCAACCAGCATCTTCAGCAAAGTATGTCCAGACAGACGACCAACTGTGAACAATACCCCAATTTGATTTTCAGAATCAGAATACTTTATTAGTCCCTAAGGAAATTTCCCAACATTGTCTGGAGTTCACATGCAGCTGCACTGAGCTTCAAAACAATTAGTAACGTTTTTTGCCATTTAATATATGAAACCATTTATTAATTTGAGAAAACAATTAGCCCGCGAACTCATGGATTAAAATAATTAGTTGCGCTCTTACTTTGTAAAGTCCATAAAAGAAAAAAGTAGAAACAACATCGGCACGTGCAGGATTTTTTCTGTTGCCTATCACTTAAGAATACACACTAAACTTATGCAGTGATTGATCGTCATTTCATCATGACATTCTGCACAGTGGTTGGCCTTCATCAAATCAATCTTCACCATCTGTGAAGTCGGGACCTCAGCGGGAAAGACAAGGCTGTAAAGCTGACATGAACGACAGATTGCTGGCAGCGCCCAACATCTGTCCATTCTCAGCTGGAGTTACCACCGCAGAGGGAAACACTGGCTGACTGAAAGTGTACAGGTTGTCTTTACACGGTTATTTCTGTGCAACTGATCCATCCCCAAATGGAATTGTTTAAAAGTCAAATATGTCTGCAGCATACCATTGACAGGCGTGAGCTGTTACAGCAATAATACTAGATAAACTAAGAAGAAGAGAAGAAGAGGAGGAGATATGGTTGTTGTCTGACAATGTGAATAGGAAATTAAACAGTGCTGAAGCCAGACAGCAGACCTAGATTCTTGAAAGGTGAAATGCAGCAACACACGTCAGGTACAGCGATTACCCAAACACAGAGAGGTGTTCAGAAGGTTCAGGGGCTTAAGTGACTGAGGCTGAGAAATTGCTAAATGCTAGTCAAAACAGCTGAGGAACAATGACTCATTTCATAACTATTTTTTGCATTTTTAAATCAGAAAGAGAAAGTCTGTGACACTGTCAGGAAATCACGTGTCATAGAGGGAGGAGAGTTTTTAAGTGCCAGTAAAGAAGATGCAATAAGGGAAAATTAGCTGTTTATCACAAGTTTTTCAGCCGATTTAAAAGAAGACACGGATGTCATTATTTGGCTTCAAGTCAGTCAGAAATACATCAATGAATTGTTAAACAGATTTGACGGCTCTTTTCAGGCAAACCTGGAGTGAAGTTTGGCCAGCGTTTAGTATTTCAGACGGTTTGGTAAATAAAAAAAAAGTGCCTCTAATCAAGAGGAAAGTAAGATCAGAAAGATGGATGACACTCCCAAAAACCTGGGAGAGGGAGAGATGAACGGCTCTCTTTCCTTCTTTCTGACCTGCTCCGCTCAGCTAGTGGTCTGGGAAGGGGAGGAGAAAGAGAAATGGGGGAGAGGGAGGGAAGGCGAAAACAGGGTGGAACAGAACACCCCACCCCCTGCTCCCCTCTCCCGCACAAACACATAAATGCACACAGCCCTTCAAAGCCGAGTGGTTTTAATAGACGTCCAATTACACTAAGAGATGACATCTGGGGAACTACAGCAGATAAATAAGGTGAAAGAAAAGACAAGATTCAGTCACCTCAGACAAACTCCAAATAACCAGCGAACCACTGATAGACAGATAGGAGAGAGAGGGAGAGGCAACGGAAAGAGGGAGGGGGCCAAAGGAGAGGGAGCCACACACGGGAGGAAAGAAGAGAGGCAACGCACCGCTCCAGCATTCAGACTCTGAGAGGCAAGGACAGAGGACAGACAGGGAGCTCAGCCCACTGACAGACGCACTACAAGAGAGGGGAGAAAGACGAGAGCTCGCGGGGGTCAGATACACACTCAAGTAACTTCAAACCAGCTCAGACAAAACAAGAGAAACAAAGAAAGAAAAGAAGAAAGTCTGGATTCTGTGACGCCTTCTTTTTTTCCTTTTTTTGGTGGCCTGGACACTTCATAAGAAACAGCATTTTTATTTTATTTTTTTCTTGCTTGTTTTATTTATTTATTTTATTATTATTTTTTTTTACTAAGCACTTTGCCATCTTTTTTTCCTAACCTGCTTCTCCTCCAACCAGGACTGAGGGGGGATAAATCGTCTGGGACGCGTGTGTTCGTGTGTGTGTTTGTGTGAATGAACTGATGATGTGTGTTTTTGTCTTTGGATGTGAACTTTAAAATGGGATTTTGAGTGATTTTGAGAAACCAGGAGCAGAGAGTGGCAGTGTCAGGAGGAGAGGTAGGAGGAGGAGGCGAGAGGTCCCCAAGGAGCGCGCCTAGTAGTTCTCATTGTGAGGTGATCTGAGTTATGGTTGTTGACGCATTCCTGTGACGATTGTGAGGAATAAACAGCACCGGGGGACTACAGCGGCGTCAGCCACAGCGCTGCGGGCTTCACCATTACCCCCCGCTACATCAACGTTTATATTCCTGATCAACCTACATCTGCCACAGCAAGTCGCACCATCTTCATCCCAGCTGTTCTACAGGTTTTAACACCTACAGTCCCAGTGAGGCTGGGGTTTCCCAAACAGAGGAGGTTTAGTTGGGGGGAGTTTCTCCCACTCTCATTCCCTTTCCCTGCACCAGCTCAGCATGCCCCAGCCCCTGAGCACATCCACAGCTCTCCCAGCTCCACTACCATGTGTAGATGGACAGTGACACAAGGTGCACCGGCCGCCTGGTTCTCCTCCTGCCCCTGCCGTAGACCTCCTTCACACCTCTCCCTCACCTTGCTGCTCTTGCTTCTCCTGCTCGGACCGTCCTCATCCTCCCCGCTGTCCGCTTCGTCCGAACACGGCCGCAATGCACCAGCAGGGACTTCTCCTCACTTCCTCATCTCATACCTACCACCCTCCTCATCACCCACACCGCTTCACGCATCCTCTGCAAGGTTGCCAAGGGCGACCAATGTGTCATCGTCGTCTGCGACGGTCGTTGGCCGGCACGTGCGAAGCAGCTACAAGCATCTACAAGGGGACGTGCGCTGGCGGAAACTGTTCTCCTCCCAGAAATTCTACCTTCGCATTGGCGAGGAGGGAAAGGTTAACGGCACCGGAAACAAGGACGATCCATACAGTAAGTCATCTGCCTTTAATGTGTCAGCTGATCCTTTCTGGTGCAAACAGCTTTTAACCACACACACAGCAGTTTATGAAAGTCAGAAATCAATTTCATATTCAAGATCCTGATATGAGATCTTTCTTTTTAGACTTTTTAAAGAGAGCCAAACGCAACCTTAGTATCTGTCAGTGGCACAACTGTGGCAAATGCAGCACTGCTTGTCCTCCACTTCATCTCACATGTTTATCTGTGGCCACTGATGTTTCCTTGTTTCCGTTCTGTGAGCACCCATGCACTTCCAGACAGGTAGCTGGGCAATAGAACAAGTAACAGAGCTGCGTGCCTGCAGCCTTTTCACCATGTGCAGAGGCAGGCATATTGCCTGACTACAAAGAGTTTGGGAAAGAAAAGCATGACAGTAGAAGAGCAGGAGAGAAGAAGAAAAAAAAAAGTAAACCAGGCAGATAAAAAAAGAGCGATGATCCACTGGAACCAATTAGAAATTGCCCAGAGAAAGTTCTTCCTGTTTGAGGAAATATCTAAAACACAGCTATTACCAAACCCCAGGGGAGAATGACAAGTACTCTTATTCCTTGCTGCTATTGTGCTCTTGCTATAATAGTGTTGGGCATATGCTAACTATGAGGTTGTACTGACTCAGATATAAAGTAATAACCAAACGCTTCCTGCTCCCCCTTTTTTTGTTTTCCTGGTTGTGCATTTTGCGGGCAGGGAAATATGATTTTAACCTTTATTTATCCTGAGAAGGGTCACTGAGCACACATGCTTATTTGTCAGCATCACTCAGCCTCACATTCACACAGTTTCTCTTTCACACTCACAGTTCCTCTGCTGCTGGGAACTCAGAAACTCCGCCAGTATATTAAAAGCACCTTAAGTTTCTGAAGGAAAATAGTACAAATGCAAGGATGAGTTCAAAATCCACAGTTACAGCAGGAAAAAAAACCCTGCCCCCCAAAATAAAAACAAATTATTTTTGGTTTCTAAAAAAAATGCTAAATAGCCAGATGGTATCACGCAAATCTCACCAAAGCATCAGATCTGTACTGCAGCAAATCTAAATAGTTTTAACGACTTGCAAGGCTCATCATAATCAGTTATGACTGATTCAGAACAGAAAATCAGCTGTTATCATTTTGTAGTGTGCGGCTTTATCTTCTAGTTGAACACATCTGGAAGTTCTCCAAGTCTGCCACAGTCTTTTGGCCTGTGAGCAGCACAGAATAACTGCATGGCCTAAGGACATACTGACAGTAGTTGTTGAGTGAGAACAGAACATTGCTCCCACATTTACCTGCCCACAGTCTGCCTGCCAGTTCACTGAATTAGATGGGTGATGTTCAAAACTCAAGCTAATATCTTTATTATTAGAAAACAGGCGTTCGCTGCATTACTGAATAGTTTTCTTCTAAATGTATGATGTCAAGTGTCTGTGTACTTGTTCTAAACTGGTCTTTATCACTCGCACACCTTCATACACATGTCATAGGGTTGCATGCATCTGTACTCGACGCTCTGGTGCTGTACAAGGCTCGCCTGCTGAGTACATGTGCACACACACACACAGATGCAGACACACGCTTGAGCACAGAGAGGCCAGTCTTGCACATGGCCTCCATATGGCAAAGCCCACTTTTATTAGGGCCAGTGTGAATATGTGTGCGTGTGTGTGCCACTCAGACACCAAGGCTCTGCCAGACATGGCTGAAGGAATTTCAATTAGCGTCTCTTCCTCCCTCCCCTCGCCTGCAGTCCTCTTTGACACACACACACACACATGTACACACTTTTTTTTTACTCACATGCACAGAAAGAGCTCAGCCATTAGGCTGCAACGTGTCACTAACTATAATGGCATCAGGTCATGGCATTAGAGGCACAATCCATCAATTTCAGCAGCTCTTGCCACTTGATTGTTTTAGGAAATAGGTAAGAACCTTCCAGGGAGAAAAGCGAATCTTAATATGGGAACTCGGTCGTGAAGGCTAAACCTTTCAGGCCATATTTTGTCTTGGCGGCATATTTAGAAAAAGCATTTCATCAATCTGTATCCACCTGATGGTAAGTGCAGATGTTCGACATGCTTCAGACTGAAAGTTTGGTGATTAAATAATGCGTGTGTCTGCCCAGCATCAAACTATACTCCACGTCCAGGTGCTTGTGCTCATATAGCATGACTGCGTACAGGCTCGCGAGCAGAGCAGCGTTTATGCTTATGCTAACACTCCCACTTACTGACATTTTTTATGCACTCTGAAATAAGCAAAGAACAAATTGTACCCTTCAAACTAAACCAAACAGAATATATTTCAATTCCGTTCCCCTAATGGTGATCATGGATGTGGTTTTTCACATACTAGACAGCGTATGACTGGTCCTACTCAAAACTGCTCTGGTGTGTTTGTGCACAAGTTTTGAACACACTTTTTGTTTATTTTTATACCTCAGATTATAACATTGCTCATTTACACTGGTATACTTTTGAAGCTAAACACAGACTTTTAGACAGATTACTTCTCTGATGCTGGTTTCTGGCTATTAGAAACATATGGCCTATGTGAAATAATGTCGCAAACTTTCTCTATATGCAGCATCTTATATAATACAACTGCACAGAAACAGTGCACTCAAGTTTCTCCAGAGTGTAAACTCAGGTGTGGAACTACCCGATGCGACAGTTCTTCAGGAAAGCATTAGATTGAAAAACTACCGCGGAGGTTAATTGCAGTGGTTATCGTAGTCTAATCGTCTGCTAATGTTCAGGAAGTCAGATTGCAAATGAGTGTCATTAGACAGTGTCAGAGGTGACGGAGAAGTTTTAGCTGCTGGTCCGGGGTTGCTGCTCTCCTCCGCAGCGGAACCTTTCTAATGATCTTGTCAGAGCCGAGGCCGGCACATCACTCAGGCTTTAGCGAATCGTGCGTTCTGATGTGTTTTGTTCTAAACGCCCATCTATCCATCTCACCTCATAAGGCCTTTTGAAATGAGAGGTTCTGGTCTCAGTTTGGAAATCTTTTGGGGCTGCCATGTGATTAGCATCCATCCTCACACTGACTGTAAGAAACAAGACTGTCCTTGTTTCCTTCCCTCCATTTTGTCCACAGACTGTCACATCTTGTTTACAAACAAACGAATAACACAGTGTAATAAATGGACGTGCGCTTGCAGTTGGACTGCAGACTTGCGCTTGTGAGTAGCTCAGTTACTACTAAACGGTGCCAAGGTGACAGCAGTTGGAGGTTTGATTCTCATTGTAAAAGCTGCCACACACACACTTCAAACATTTATCATGCATTAATCACTGACCTGTCATGGGAGAATCAAGCAAACCACAATTTTAGACTCTTAATTCTCTGGACATCATTCTGATTTAGACCAGGATTTCCCTGTCCTGGATAATTACACGGGTCTGCCCCCTCTTGTTTGACCTCTACCTATTGACCTGAGTCAGGAAGCACTGCTAATGGAAAGGTCAGCACTACAAGTATTGTATCACTTTTGGTTGTACTCTGCAAATGCCAGATTTTTTGCAACTCAAAGAGCCAAATTTTATATTAACAAGTCTGCAAGAGACAGAATTGTATTTGGAATGATGCATTTGTATCCAAATATTATTTTTGTGTATGTTGTGGAGTCGGTGCCAAAGCTAAAATCTTCTTTCAGCCAAAATAACTTTGTTTAGCCGTTGGGATCCAGAGTCCTCTTCAACTTTTAGAATTATTTTAGGGTAATTTTAAGAAGAAATTACAGGAAAATGTTAAAATATATTTTACTACACTTTAGCAAAACTAGACTATTGAAACTCCATCAAAGCGCTGTAGGCTGCACTGTGTATTGTAAAGGAAAAAAAATGCAATTAGAAATGCAACATTGCAGATTGTTGCTGTGGAATAAATGTGCACATATTTAAAACCACATGCACTTCTTCATCTCCGTACTTTGCATCCATAAAGCTTGAATGACTCAGCAAGGTGAGAGCCAAAAACAAAAGTAACAAGTCCTGACATCAGTCCCCGTCTTCTGCTCTTCTACTTTTGGTCGCCTCTATGTTGCTGCCTTCGATGGGATGCTCGATGAGGGTATTTAGGGTTCTCATGGGAAAAGGTAACAGTGTGGCCCATAAAAGAGAGTTATGAGGAGGTACTGGAAGTACCAGAGGTTAGTGTCAGCATTGGTTTTCATTTAAAGTTACTCTGCACGGACTCTTCTCCCTAGCGGCTGTAAATAAAACGGGCACGCAAACATCACTGAAGGAGCTCGTTCAGGAAAAACTAAACGGGTGCTCTTAAGAGCCAACATCAACAATTACATTCGGCTGTACTCTGAAAACATACAATAAACACACCTTCCTCTTTCTGACCTTTAATTCAGCTACAACTTTCATGTTGTTTACATGCAGGATGCCATTAAGGGTGCCCCTGATTGGCTATACACAAAAATAATGGAAAAACCATTCGTGGTAATCAGTGAAATTAGTTAGAGTCTTCCTGTGGGTGTGTAACTGCGATAAATTATTTTGGTTTCATACTGCACATCTTCCCTGTGATGTTGTTGCAGCGGGAGTCTGGATCAAATCATGTCACTTTTGAATTATGACTCATTTTACTCTAATCTGCGGAGCAAGCGAGGCCATAAAATAAACGTTTTGGGATCTCTTACAAGGGCGAGACATTTCCAAGGCCCCCTGATAATCTTCATTAAGCATATCCTTACTACCATTCATACTCTCAGATGCAATTAGAGCTGTTTGTATTCTAAAACCTTTCACCTTAAAGGCTTCAGACCTGTTTCATAGTAACTGAAAGAAGTATTTCAATCTGCGCGCTCAGTGCTTGCTTTGCGGCCTGGCATCATGTGCCAGCACCTGGAGACACATGACGCATTTTGGTTCTCTGTTGCTGTCATCAAAAAAAATCAAGCTGAATGTAACCATCTGCATATTTTATCAATTTAGCTCATTTAGCCTTTTATCGTCACTTGATGATGGAAACTCG